AGAAGGAAAAAAATACGGTTTCTAAAACTGAAGTTTTTCGAATCGAATCAATTTTTCGGCACCTAAAAAACATTTCCCTAAAAATGCAATCATGCTGTCGGATAGAACATTCAATTCTCTACAAACTGAAACGAGAAACTTTATTTTAAAAGCGGTGCAAAAGAACCTTGAAAAACTTGAGAACAAGATGGCCGACTGACACCGTTTTTTCAGTTTTTTGTCACTTTTAGCCTCAAAAATTAACTTTAACACAAAATAAGGTGACATTTAGAATCAGCGTCGAAAACTGCACCAGATCATGTGCCTATCATAAATTTTGGAGACAAAGAAAATTTTGTTACTTTTTAGATTTTTGATCTCCTACTTTGAAGCGATTTTTCATCGAAATTTTCTGTCTCCAAAATTTATGATAGGCATATGATTTGGTGCATTTTTCGACGCTGATTCTAAATATCACCTTATTTTGTGTTACTTTTTTTCATAATCCTAGATTTGATTGTAGAATCCGAATATAAAATAAAAATCATAGGTTAATTTTTTGCTCGTGACTGCTTTTTGGCAGGATGCTTGATACGCTCACGAAACGTCTCTTAATATATGATATGAGTCTCAGTTACAAGAGATAAAAGATTAATTATTGAAGAAAAAAATAACCCAGATTCTTCTTTAGCGCCTCATTGTTACAGTCAAAAGCAAACAAATTTTACGGTATTTTGAGGCTCTGTTTTTCGTGTATCAACTCACTAGAAGGTATACAGCGTTCAAGATAGTATTTCGTTATTTGTCTGTTAATTCTATAAAATCCATGTTGTTTCTCCACTGCAAACTCTTTAAATAAAAGAAAATAATATAATTGAGCAAACTAGTATAACATCACTTGTACAATAGATAAAGATATATATACCTCGATGTGTTTGAAAAATATCAGACATGTTTTCTTGGAATATTTTTGTCTTCTTTAACGTTTTGATATTGTCTAATGTCAACTGACAATTCACCTGGAACAAACAAAAAACTTTTAACCTGATAAAGGATGCGAGAACTTCTGTAAAGTTAGTGAACGCCCAATATATGCAAAATATCATTCATCGAATAAGTAATAATCAATTAGTATTTGAATCTCTTTTCGCTAACAATTCCGATCAAAATTTCTCACACAAAAATAAAGAAGAACGTTTACATGCAAAAACCAATCCGAGAGAATTAACATTAACTTACGTACCTTTTGTTCTGTATTATTAAAGAAACAAACGAATCAGTTATAAATAAAAAAAACTTTCTTTTTCATGATTCAATCAGATCTTCTTTCAGTTTCTAACCTTTCTCATCTATGGTAAACAATATATTATATTAAAAGACACTCTAACGTACAGCTTTGGCACATTGAATATGTTTAAAGCAAGAATACACAATGAGTAATAAAACTGTAAAGAAAATTACCATCACTTAACTCTGGATCATCATCTACATCTGTTGGAATTGTGATGTTCTGCAGATGAAAAAAAGATATTTGTTTTCAAGAAGATCAGCATAAATCTTAGAGTTACAACTGATTTATCGCGAGCACATGGTCAAGTAACTGGTTTTCGTTTAAGCACCAAGGATTCGATTACACCTGGAGCATGTTTATATTCTTTAAATGTTTTATTTAATAATACGATGCTAAGTGCATCATCTTTAACATGATATTGATCAATTTCTATTTGATCACTTATAAAAACTAGGTCATCATTTGAGAGACCTTCAGCTAAAAAAGAATAACTGGTAAGTTACTAATCTGGCTGAGTTTTTTACTTCAATTCTCAAAATTCCATACGTAGACATTTTCATGGCCTTCTCTACTAGAAACAAAGTTATTCATGTTTTATCAACATAGAAGAGGGTTGGCATCGCGCTCTCATGACATTTTCAGTATCACAAACAAAAAAAGAAAATACACATACTTTCTCCTTTTCGAATTATTCGAAATTCGCCATCGTACATAGCTCGGAACATATAATGATCTTTAATTAATTTACTTAATTCTTCTGCCTAGAATAGAAATTCCGAAGATTTTTTCGTAAAGTTAAACATTATATAATGGGTCATGCATAAGTTTTGCAACAAATGTCAAGCGATATTTCTCCATCTTCCCAGTATTCTGGAGACTTCACTGTCTTGCTGTTTTGTAAAAGCAAAGACTGAAGTCTCCAGAATACTGGGAAGATAGAGAAATATTGCTTGACATTTGTTACAAAACTTATGCATAACCCATTATGTCTTTGACACTCAACTGTTATGGGTGACACTATCTCAACTGATATGAATAAACCAGATATTAGTTGAACGAAATGCACAGACATGATTGTATATAAGAAACGAGTGAATCAAGGTCTTCTTGTCAATAAATATCTAAAACCAGAACGAATACGATAAACAAAATACGGACTCTATCGAGTATATATTACCACAAAATGTAAATCATGAAATCAAACCCACAAGACAAAAGAATGATAACTAATTTAATCGAATTAATATTATACGGATATTCTGTTATTTAAAAGATATAAGAAAAAGTAAGTATTAGGTAAAGCTTTCTTCTCTTCAGTCATGAAAGATGGCCTGTCATGTGGTGTCGCATCATCTCGAATGTTTTCTCTTTCCTTACTATATCTTCTCTTCGTTCTCTCTTTTTATTGGCTAATCGATGGAATACCGGAATAAAATCGGACCTTATTTGATATCTCTAACAGTATAAAATACTATAGAAAAGTAATGTATTGGACGGTCTTTAAACTTATAATTCTTCAAGTTAAGTTTCACCAAGAACGGAATAGAGGCGCATTGATAGAATTTTATTGAGTGAGCGGGTTAGTCATCTTTTAGTGGTCGTAAGAACATAATAAAAATTTTTCTTTTTAGTTTTTATTATATTAAACGTGTGTATATGCGGCAGACACGTGGGTGATTGAAGATGTCCATGCTCTTGTTATTCTCGTTATAAATGACATATTCATCATTCACATGTTATAACAATAAAACAGAAGATCCTTCTTCTCTTTGTGTTTTTTTTTCTCTTTCGTCTTTTGTTCACTCATAGACTACATTGTCACTACATATTTATCATTTTCTCGCGTTTTCTCTCGTCTCCCTTGTATGATACATATCACATCTAAAAGAAGAAGGGAAGAGAAGATTCTTTCTTCTTATATTCAGTTTTAGACTAAGACAAACTTTTCTTTATCTATATTTTGCCGTATTCCTTCTCAGGTATAGCTTTTAATTTCACCAGTTTATTTTCACTAAGTTGTACTATGTTTTCTTGATAATAAAGACTGTATTGTTCGAAACGTCGAAAAAATATCAAATAAATCTTAATTATTTCAGTTAAATAAGATATCAATTTTATATCAGCTGCTGTTATAACAAGGAGTTTCACCTCACTTTTACTTACGAAGTAAAAGGAAAATATAGACGTTTACGTTATCAAGAAAAAGTAAAACAAAAACTTCCACTTTACTTTTGCCGAGAAAAACTAAATTTTTACTTTTACCAAGTGAAAGTAAAGTGGAAATTTTTGTTTTACTTGTTACTTAGTAAAAGAAAAATAACATTCTTACTTTTTCTTGTAAAGTAAACAAGGGTAAATGAAGGTTTTATGTTATTTAGCTGTTTCGAACGTCTTATGTTGATTCACTGAATAAGTAGACAATGCGCATGCCATTTTGAGCAGCAAAACAGAACATTCAGGAAAACAGAATTTCTGAAAGATGTATTCAATGTTTAAAACAAATATAGTCTTTCCTTTGTCTCTCTTTTGCATGTCGTTTCCCCTTGGTGAATTCTTTATTTTGTCTTAAAAACAAATAAAAGAACATGTTTTAAAAAAGAATTCTGTAGGAATTCTGTTTCAATATTTGCCTATGGATTTTGAATATAATTCATAACGATCACGTAACATAGCCAGCAACACTAACCCAGGTCGAAGCTCTACGGCCGTAAACTATAGTATACGACGAAATACATATCCATTCCAGATAAAATACGACGTCGTAATCCTTCTCCACGGTAGACGTCATCGTATTTTGTTGTAAACAGCTCGTATTTTGACGTATACTACAGTATCCATCATCATAAACTGTAGTATACCGCTGTAGTAATCATTGTCCTGGGAAACAACGATTCGCTAGTGATCGAGGAGGGTAAAAGTAAATTTTTCGACTTACTTTGCTTTGACAAAGTAAAACAAAGTAAAAGTAAAAAAAGTACCACCCCTAGTTATAATCGTATCAATTTAAAAACTTTTACCCTTAAATAATATTCTAGAAGTTTTTCAAAATATGCAGTGAGATTTGTCCTTATTAATCACATGTTCTGCACTAGGGTCATGGTTTCGATTTCCACTGTGTATTTTGGAACCGAGAATTGAACATTCCAATGTTCAAAAAAAGTTTATGAACGTTCCATTCTAATATCCGAAATTCTGTTGAGTTTTTTCTTTCATTTTTCTCTGTCATGGTTGCTATTATTCAGGCATTTACTTTTGGACAATTTAGTACAAAAGTAAACTCTTTGCATTTGAATTGTAAATTCAAGTGTTTGATTCTATCAACTGTGTAGTGTTCTTTCGTGCTTTGCTTTCTGTTCTAGCCTTATCTCTCTCACTCAACCAGCTCAGGAGTTCAATATTTCCCAAAATTCTCTCCGTTTGTTTTTGTTTTTTTCAATCTTATGAGTAAATCGTAAAACTAAGGGTTACAATGAAGGGTGGGCTGCTTCTCTCGTCGAGACACATATTGACAAGGGAGAGATTTAACCTAGAATTAAGAATATCGTGAAGAAGTTTCACGCTTAGGCCGACAGAGATATCTTTTATTAAGCTTTTCTGTGGGCTGAAAAGATCGAGCTAAAGTCTTACTTCTGCATTCGAATTCTTGTTTTCTCCTTCATAGTTAATTTCATCTTTTGGCTGTGTTTCAAGATAAATCGTATATTTTTTATCTGGTAAAAATCCAGATGCTGAAAATTTTGCATACGTTGAATTAATATCAACGCGCGGTATATTATCAACGTATAACTAAATAACAAAAGCCGTGTAAATCAAAATAAATCACAGTCAAATATCTTTTAATACCTTAAAATATTTAACAAATTCTTGTGCCTCTCTTGGATGAACTTGAATTGTTCCATAAATTTTAGTATTCCAATATTCTTTTAATTTTATTAGTTCTAATTCAATTTTACATTTTTTAAATAATATTTGACCTTTCTAAACATACAAATGACATATCGTCCCACAAAGAACAGAAATACCTAAAGCAAAGATCTTACGTTTCTGTGAGCGAGACGTAATCTGAAAAAAAAAGCAGAAAGAATCTCGTTACTAACGTGAACTGCCTTAAGTGTTATAAATCATAGAATTTACTGTTCTGTTTGTTCTTTTTCATCATCTTCATCGGTACAGTAAGTTGACGCATTGTCACCGTCATGGTCATCTTCTTCGTTATGTGATCCGCGTATTGTCATTAAACAGCGCTTTATCAAGCGTTTGAAAACATCCACAGGTAACCCGACATGAAGTAACCTCCCCCCCTCTCTATAACAGATTCTATTATGGGGGAGGTTATTGTGTGCAAGTGACCACAACTGGTACAAAGTCGTCCTCTCAGGCTGCCCCAGTCAAGTCCAAAGCAGTACATTCGTACCCGAGTCACTCTTATAAGAAGTTGGGGGAGTCGCTGGCTAGCCCTCATGAGATAAACTCGTAGGGACTCTGGGTTATATTGCTTCACCTGCAGTCGTCTCCGCATGGTCCATTCGCGCGATACTATAGTTATGCTCTTGAAAGCCCTGAATATATATATATACGGAGATCCCATGTTGCGAAAACCGTCGGTAATCCGCGGTTATTTCAGCTGAAAGAACCGCGGTTCATCGACAGTTTTCACAACAAGGGTATACTTCGATAGAAACTTTGTCAGATAAGGCAAGAGGGCTATGCGACTTAGTCCCCCAGAAACGGTCGGATGGTGGCAGCGATGAGAACATTCATCCAAAAATGGAATATCCATTTTCTTTAGATTCAGTTTGGAGGAAACATACCTCAATAAATGAGCTATTTA